AGCTTGCAAATACTTTTTGACAAAAGCAGATTGCCAATTTTTCAAGTTTTGCAACTATCCCACTCTGCCATTGCTCAAAGAAATCAGTAATAGTGCAATGGCAAGCAGAAACACCGAAACAACACCCAGGATTTGGAGGCAGATTAATTTATGTCCACGGGCACTGATCGGGATCATTCCCAAAATATCAGGGCCCGATCTCCGGTGGTCTAGGGCTCATACGGGATAAGCAAGCAGGAAGTACAGAGGCAGAATGGCTTGTCAGCTGGGGATTGGTTTATACAACATGCATCACAGTGACCAGCCGTTTCTAAGAGACAGGAGCAACCGGAACTGCAACAGGAACTGTCACCTGGGTAACTAAGAAACTGAAGTATACTGGCTGGGGGAAGGCATTTCCTGTTACAATAGGCAATGCACAAAGAAGTGGGCATAGCTGTGTGCTAATAAAACTTTATTGGCAAAACAAACAGGGGGCCGGATTCAGCACAGAGCCATCTCTGTGCACCCTCAAGTAGGTGCTTCAGGAATAGTGGTTGAGGGTGGAAGGACCTCGTGGGGAGAAGAGCTGCCTTTGGCTCCCAAAGTGAAGAACAGTGTTCCAGACAGAAGACATTGTGTTTGAAGGTCCCAAGGGCCAGATGTTGTGTGCCCACCTCTAATCCCAGCACTTGGGGGGCTGAGGCAGGAGGATCTCCAGTTCCAGCCCAGCCTGGTCAACTTAGCAAGACCCTGTCTCAGAATAAAGATTAGAGAACGGGCTGGTGGATGTAGCTCAGCGCGAAGGCTCTGGATCTCATCCCCAGCACCGTAAGATGAATAAAGAAGCGAATCAATCAATCAGTATAAAAATCTGAAGAGCTCCATCTGCGGGTTTTCATCCCAGGACCGCTCACTGGGATCGTTTAGCTCTCACGGAGCAGCTGGGCCGTGTGTGTCTTTTCTGCTAAATCCTTGTTTAAAAAAATCAATACAAATAATATCAGCAAACAAACTGCTAATCTTCGGCCCCAGAAGCAGCGGCGGATCACAGCCGAACAGCAGTCGGGGCCTGGCTAAGCGGCTGCTCTCACCCCAGCCTGTCCTCCCCACAGCAGCCACCAGAGGGCGCCGTGAGCACCGAGCTCAGGCCTCCCTCCTCTGCCCTCAGCACTCCACCGCTCCCACAGCCCAGGTCCTCCCCGCAGCCCACACGGCCTATACGGCCGCCCTTCTCCTGCCTCGGCTCCTCGCGCTTTGCCCCTCCTCCTTCTGCTCCAGCTACGTGGGCTCCTCGTGCTCCTGCAAACACACCAGCTCCGTCCTGCCCCAGGGCCTTTGCATGGAACAGTTTTCCTGCATTATCCTATTTCAGTTCTGCCAATCACTTCTCACCATCTGAAACGAGCATTTTTGTTTACTTGTGTGTGCGCAGTCTCTCCAGCTTCCATGAGCACAGGAGGGTGGGGGATATCGGCTCTTTGCTTCCCTGCTGGGTCTCCAATGTCTGCAACATACCCAGGCACACAACAGTCATCGGTGCTTGTTGAACGAATAAATAAACGTAGGGCCCAAGAGAATAAGAGTGTAGATGGGGGCAACAAGGAACTCGTGCTTCATCCCTAGCTCTGCCACACGCTGGTTGTGCGATGTTTGCCCCGTTACTTATGCTGTCTGTGCTTCTGTGTCCCCAGGGGTAAGAGGAGAGAATCAGTTGAGATAATCCATATAGTACGGTGTGCATAGCATCTGATAGGTAATGAGCCCTCACGAAATGAGCCACCAACACCAGGACGCACGGTGTCCCACCCATGGGAACAGACAACCTCCACCTAGGGACCTCACCGGCTGTCAGGACACACCACCTGGCCTATTTCTTTTTTCACAGCTGTGTAGGTTTCCACAGGATGCATGTTGCACAGTTTATCTGCCAAATCCCTACCGGATGGGCACAAGTCACAACGAGCAACTCCACAGGGCCCATTCACAAGCTCACACCTTGCACAACAGTTTCTGGGCTCTGGATGGAGGGCAGGAGTTGTGGCAGCACAATGATGTTTGATGCTGCCGTGCTGCCCATCTCTGGGGCTCTCACCGGCTGTATATGAGTTTGGCAGCAGGAGCTCAAACCCTTCTGTCCATGCCTGACTTCCTCCCTTTCCTCCTGACGTTTTCCAATCAGTGGGAAGCAAGATGTCATTCTGGTTCGAGTTCCTGTTTCCTGGATGTCAGAGATTTTCCCTGCCTCATTTGACAGAATCAATGCTCAGGGCATGTGGCCACCTCGACCCTCACGGCTGCACGTTAGGTCCCCATGCTCTGGCCCCGTGTCCCTGCAGTCCTGGGGGTTGGGAGGGAGAACTGGAACCTGTCACCCATGGGCCCTTTCTCCTCCCTCCGTCCCTCCCTTCCTTCATTTCTTCCTAATTTTATCAGAGAGCTTGACATAAACCCCTCCCCACATCCCTACAATAAACTTTAATGTACCCCAGCACTCTGAGAGGCTGAAGCAGGAGGATCACAAATTCAAGCTCAGCCTTGGCAACTTAATGACCTCACAAGACCCTGTCCCAAAATAAAAAATAAAAAAGGGCTGGGGATAGAGCTCAGTGTGAAGGCCTTGGGTTCCATCCCAGCATCACATAAAAAGTTTAATTTATAAATTAGGCCCAGAGATTAGCAACAAAAATGAACAATAAAATACACCTATCATAGCCATATACTGTATTGAAGGTAATATGAATGCAATCTCTCACTATCTCTGCCTCTCTCAGAATATCTTACTGTATTTTCACCTAATATATGCATTTATTTTTTGAGACAGGATCTCACTATGTAACTCAGGCTGGTCTTGAACTCCCTATGTAGCTCAGGGTGGCCTCAAACTCATGGTGATCCCCTGCCTCAGCCTCTCGGTGCTGGGATTACAGTCGCGCACACCCAGCTGACCTTTTCACTTAAAGGAAGTGATTGGTGAGTCCTCCTTAGTTCATCCGGGTTGTCTCACCATTGCTCTTGAATGTGGGGTCATTATTAGTAAAATAAGGGTTTACTGAGCAGAAGTATCTTGGCGACACTGCAGGAGTTGATCAGATGGCCACTCTGGTCTCTGGATGGACCACAGGAGGGTAGTGCATACACCTCGGATACCTGGACAAGGTAGGGATTTATGCCCTTGAGCCACATGGCTCAAGATTCTTCCATTCCACCGTGACAATGCTCAATTTAGAGCTTATGAATTATTTATTTCTGGAATTCTCCTCTTCATATTTTTGGACCTTGGTTGATCATGAAAAACCCAAACCACAGGAAGCAAAAGCTCAGGGAAGCGGCATTCATGTCCTGTCAGTTTCACCACTGTCCTTTGCACCTGGGCTGTTCTTTCTGTCCTTTTATCTATTTTTGTTGTTTGTTTTTGAGACACTGTCTCACTATGGTGCCCAGGCTGAGCTTGAACTCTTAGGCTCAAGTGATCCTCCTGCCTCAGCCTCCCCAGGAACTGGGGTCTACAGACATGCGCCTTGGTGCCTGGCAACCATAAACTTTTCCTTCCTTCCTTGTTTTGTTTTTTTTGAGACAGGGTCTCTCTATGTAGCCCAGGCTGGCCTCCAACTCACAGCGATCCTCCTGCCTCAGCCTCCTGAGTGCTGGGATGACAGGTTTACACCACCATGCCTGACAATCATTAACTTTTTGATGATAATTTTGATGCAAATCCCCCAACTCTCAGGCACTCAGCTACCACAGACAATCACCGTCATTTTTGTGTTCCCGTCCCATTTTTTTCTGTGAGCCTCAGCATTTTCTCTCTAAATCTGGTTCGTTTGTCCCTTGTGGCATTTTTCACTCAATGAGTCGCAAATATGAGGACAAGGGTTTGCATTCGTTGAAATCACTACTATGCCCCTGGCGCTGGGCATGGACTGATACAGAAGGGGCGTGGAGGCTGTGTTGGGTTAACTCCTGACAAACATATCAAGACTTCCACACAGCCTGGTGAACTGACCGGCCTGTGAAACTGTCAGTGAAACCAGAGGGTGACATCTGTTCCTCTGGATCCAAAGACGTCCCCCCATCAAATTAAAAGTCTCTCCTCCTTTCGGGCTGCATCCTGGGGGGACAGGCACAGCATCACGGACACTTTCAGGGCCAGGGCCTTCTGGAACCATCCGATCTGCCTCTCAAGAAAGGACGCGGCTCTCTCATTACTGTGTCTATTTTGCAGAGGGGGAAACTGAGGCTCCGAGACCCGAAGTGATTCTTGCAAGACGTGGCTGGAAAGAGGCTGTGGGCAGGTGGTGCAGCTCACAAAGGCCCAGAGCGGCCGCGGATATAACCACGCCCCGAGCCCTGGGGTAGCTGCTAAGGTAGCTCAGGCCGCGCCGGTGCAGGGTCTCCGGAAGGAGAGCGGCAGACGGGGAGACTGAGGCCGGGTCTGGGGAGGTCCAGCCGCCCGGGGGCTCGCTGAAGGGCGGGGAAGGCCGGCCCATCCTCCCTTTGCAGTCCAGTCAGGGAAACTGAGGCCCAGAGCAGTGCCTCACACAGCGAGGGCGGGGCTGGGAGGGGGCGGGAGCAGTCGCCCTGGGGCGCAGAGGGGAGACTGAGGCCCGGATATACCGCACACACCGCCTCGTGCAGGGCGCAGCCGTGAACCCCCGGGCGGGGCAGGCGAGGCTGCCGGGAGGCGGCGCGGTCGCTTCTCCCGCAGGTTCAGCTCCGCGGGGCGCACAGGGCACGCGCGCGCATGCGTATACGCACGTACACGCATGTAGATGCGTGCCCGCTCACATGTGCACGTAAAGATGCGCGCACGCATGCGACGCACAGTGCACATTGCGCACATACCTGTTTAGACACGCGCGAGCGCCCCCACGCACACGCACGTTCACACCGCCAGCACGCACTTGTGCACGCCTGAACACGCGCACGCACCCCGCGCCCACACCCGAGCCTCCGGCCTCCCGCCCCGCCCTGCTCCTCCTCGCCTCCCGCCCTCCCCGCCTTCAGCACCATTTAAATGATTACAAAGATGCTATTTTTATCTGGAGGAAAATTCAATTATAGACATTGACCTTTAAGGATTTTTTTCCGCCAGCTCACGTGAGGCGGGGCGGTGCGGAAGGGGTGCCTGCGCGTCTCCAGGGACGGTGCCTCCCACGCAGGGCCGAGTTCACGGCCGGAAGTCCGGAGGGGTCTGCGGCGGGGGCAGTGACTGCCTTTTCTCATCTTTAATTTTGAGACAGGGTCTTGGTAATTTGCCAAGGCTGGGTTCAGTGTGGAGATCCTCCTGCCTCAGCCGCCGTAGTACCTGGGAGGACGGGCGTGTGCCCTGCGCTGTGCCTCTCCTGCGGCCGCGGGCGCAGTGGGCGGTGCTGCGGGCGCCGTCTTTGCGTGGATTGCCCGCCTGGCTCTGATCGCGTTTGCTTCTTCCAGATAAATCTCCCAGGTGCCGCAGAAGTGGGGTTCAGGAAACGGGCTGGGAATCCCTGAAAGATTTAATTGGCCCGGAAGTGTTAACTGTGTGGGAGCCTTGCTCTAGGTGCTGGGCGGAGGGCTGAGCACAGCAGGGAAGCTGCGGTCCACCCCACAAAGACAGCAGTCGGGTGGCGATGTGAGCCACGAGTACCAGCCAAGCGGCGAGGGAGACTGGGCGCGGGCGGCAGCCGGAGGGGCCTCGGCCAGCAGCTCAGGTGTCCCAGGAGAGCTGGGGTAAGGGAGGAGGAGGGCGCGGCTGTGCAAAGGCCCTGGGGCAGCACAGAGCAGGCACAGAGCAGAAGCAGAAGGTGCTGGAGCAAAGGCAGAGAGGGCGCAGGGGAGGCAGGGAGGGAACGGGTGGCCGTGCAGGACCCTGCGGGCTGCGGAAGGATCCCGGCTTTGCCCCAGGGAGGTGGGAGCCGGTGGACAGCAGAGGAAGGGCACATTGTTCGGTGCCCACAGCGCGCTCTACTGGCCGCTGCGGGAAGGATAGGCTGCGGGGTGAGGCCCAGGCCGAGGGGTCCCGGCCGACCCGCCGTGATGGGGCTGGGCAGCGGCTGCAGAGGGATGAGGGGATGGGTGGAGCAGCGCCCATCGCTTGGGGAGCAGGGACCCAGGCCGCGTGAGGAGTGCACCCCGGGAGCAAGGAACCTGCCACGGCGGACGCTGCTGGGCCTGTGGGGGAGATGGGGTCGGGGAGGCGACCACAGGCTCTGGACCCCGACGGGTCAGCTCTGTGAGGGCCGCCGTGGACGGGGAGGACGGTCCTCGTCTCGGCTGGGCCAGCCCGGTCTGCAGTGGGAGCACCCTGGGGACAAGCTCCTCCCGCTACCCGGTCAGCCTGGAGCTGGGGTGACGTGGGCAGGTCGGGGAGCAGGGCGGGGGCGGGTGGGGCCTTCATCACGGTTAGCAGGGCTGCCACCCGCCAGCCGCACACCCGGGCACGCGCAGGCCCCCCACCCCACCCCGTTCCCCCCAGCGTCCGTTTTAACCCATTCGCCCAGAGCACCGTGCGGGGCCCCGTGCGCTGTGCCGCCCTGGGCCGGTCCTGCCCACTCGGGTCACCCGGTGGCCCTGCCCTCCCTGCCCCGCGGCCACAGTCATGGCCCCGCCGTCTCCGGGTGCATGGACCCAACCCTGTGGCTGTCCCCTCCTGGGGCTGTGCCACGGTGTGGCCCGCCCATCAGAAGTCTCCTCGGCGACCGTCTGGGGTCCAAGCTCAGGGCCCTGACACCCGCTGCGCGCCCTTGGGGCTGGTCTGGGGCGGCGCGGTGGGGCAGCGGGTGGCTTCGCAGCCCGGGCTTTGCTCCCTGGTGCCCGCAGCACGGCTCCTCCTGTGGAACCATCCCCTCCTGGAGAGAGGTCAGAGTAGAGAGATGCCACCTCCTTTTCATTTTATATTTTGGGACAGAATCTCGCTAAGTCACTAAACTGCCTGGGCTGGACTTGAATTTGCAGTCCTCCTGCCTCAGCCTCCCAGAGTGCTGGGCTGACAGGTTTAGTATTCCTCCCGGTGCGGGGCTCGGATGTCACCGTGACTGACGCCCTGTGCGTGGGGCTCGGTCCTCTTGCGAGGCACAGAAATGGTTTAAAGCCACGCTATGGGACGCAGTCACAGTGGAGCGGCTCCTCCCGCGGCTGGCGATGGCCCGGGAAGGGGGTCTGTGTGAGGCCAGCCGCAGAGGAGAGGAGGCGGGAGGAGGGAAGCCAGGCTCCGCCCACCGCAGCGGGGCTTCCTCCCGCCGCCATGGCAACTGCACCTTCAATGCTTATAAAGGCCAAGAGCCCAACTTCCCACCCTCGACCCTCCTAACGCCAGGGGGCGCTCTCGCCACGTCCCCAGCAGGCGCGGCGTGGTAGCAGCGCCCTTGGCTCCGGAACTCGGTTTCCCCGGGTTGCGTCACTTGCTCTGGGTGGGGTCTCAGGGGTCCAGGGAAGGCGTAGGGAGGAAAAGGTAAGCTCACCAGCCTGACGATTACAGATGCCGACGAGGGGCGGATGCCAGACGCTAAATAATCTCCACACACCAGTCCCTCCGCAGTCAAAAAGTTGTCACTTAGGTATTTCTTTGGTAGGTAAAGGCAGACCAGAGCAATGCTTGCATCACACTTGCCTTCGACTGAGTCTTACTCTCAGCAGGGGATTCGTATTAATTCATGGTAACTCACTGTAGCAGTCCTGAGCTGGGGGTCTCCACCCTGCTTCATGCAAGAGAACAGGAAGGCACAGAGAGGTCAAGTGGCTTGCCCAAGGTCACACAGCCTCGGCAGAGCGGAGCTTTTAACTACCACACTTTTCTCCCTTTTGAGGTTCAAAAGGGTTCACAGGTTGAAAAAGAAATCCTCCTCCCTAGCCTGGGCCAGGTGGCCCAGTTCCTATGCGGAGGTAGCCATGGTTATGGTCCGCTCCATCCGGGAACCACAAGCCCCCACACCAACACCACAGTGCGTATTTTTTCCTCTACCGGCTCTGTCACACACACGAGTGACACATGCTGGCCTTTGCCTTCTAGTTATCACTGGACAATGCGCCTTTAAACCCAGGTGTGTGGTGCACACCTGTTATTCCAGCACTCAAGAGGCTGAGGCAGGAGCGTCACACGTTTAAGCCCAGCCAGGGCAACGAAGTGAGACTCAGTCTCCAGAAGAAAAAAACAAAAACAAAAACAAAAAAACTTGTGATGATTTCTGTTTAATAGGTAAAGATTCACCTTTGTATGACTGTGTAGTGTTCCATTTAGAAAACAAACCAGCCTGATACTGTTTTAAATTATACTAAAATCCACATGCTATAAAATTTATCATTTTGGATACTTAAAAATGCACAATCTGAGCCGGGCGTGGTGGTGACACCTATCATCCCAGCACTTGGGAGGCTGAGGCAGGAGGATCCCGGGGAGTTCAAGGCCAGCCTGGGTTACACAGTGAGACCCTGACTCAAACAAAAACAAAAACAAAAACAAAAACAAAAGCCCTGGGGGCACTAAGCACATTCACAAGGTTGTGTCACCGTCTCCACCCTCCAGATCCAGAGAGCCCCTTGCCCCAAGCTCTGCCCAGGCGAAGTGGGAGCTCCCCACCTGCGCTGCCCTGCTAGGTCCCTCCTCCCTGTCCCCTCCCCTCCCCTCCCCCTCCTGCCCTCGGACCCTCAGGTGAGCCCCCTTCCACGCTCTGGCAGGGCGTGGCCTCTCCGTCGGCGCGGGCGCGCCGGGGCAGTGAGGTCAGCAGAGTCCACCTGCTTGGACGCTGAGCCCGGCCGCTCCTGCTGGGCGCCTCTGTGCCCGGGCGCGGGCGTTTCCGCACTCAGTCACTGGGAATCCGGTGCAGTGCGCGCGGCCATGCGCGTTCGCCTTGAACATTTGCTCGCAGTTATTAAATACCAGACTGTCTTCACCCGTCCCTGCAGATGGACGCCTGTTTTCCTTCTCCTTGCCTCCCTCCTCCCCC